GAAACTAAGAGTCAGACACTCAACCGACTGAGCCACCCAGGTGCCTCTGTGGCATATTTTAGATTAGAGGTCATCAAGTGTCACGATCCCTGTGGAGATAAGAACTGTTTTTCAGTGCTTATTGGTAACTCAGCATAAACTGCCAATTCGTAGAATTACGAAATTTTCAGAGCTGCAAAGGGACATAGGAAGTAATGGTCCAGTGGCCTCTTTTTGTAGCTCAGAACCTATGGCTTTCCCAGGACCTTATAGTCAGACCAAAATTAGATCTTTGAACCCCAGGATAGGGATTTTTTTAGTGCTGTCTCCAAAGTCAACTTTAGCTTTTTTGTAATCTGATACATGTGAGCATTTAATCATTTGACTATAATTACATTTTGTGTACATGTGTGAATTTTACTTCCAGCTCATGTCTGAATGTGTGATTAGATCAAAACTCTCTTATTACAAAATTCTGTCTAGTTTTTGGAGCTTTGGTCTCTAATAAATATCAGGTATAATCAAGTCCCTGGTATTACTATCAAAAGATGAAAGCAAAGATGTTTTAGATAGTTTCTTACTTCTGACCCTTAGCTGTTGAAAGAGACAAATAATGGTGATTTACCTTCAAAAATATTAGAAGGTTTCAACTGACCTGGGAAGGGCTGTCGTCATCAAATAAGAGAAAAAACTCAAATATAAAGAAAGCAAGTGTTTCATTTTCTCATCTAAACAGTGATAGAAATTAGACAAATGATTATACTCTTGTTTAACAAGCATTCCTTTGATTTTTATGATATGGTTTAGAATTAAGCCACAGAAAGGTTATCTTTAATGTTTCATCCCTGGTTTAGAGACTTGGATTTCCAAGATCCACCTGTATTGCAACTGAAAGGAACAAATGAAGCATCATAGAAATATAGAGTACCAATTATACAATTTTTATTGTTGGGTATGATGCTTTAAGAAAATAAAGTCTTTGTGGTTTTTGTAACAATTCCACAGAACATATTTTAAATTACCTGTTATTTTATCCAGAGTTGCCATTTTTATTGATGAACTCATTTCAGTCATTTCTCTGCATATTTAAAGATGAATGGGTAAACAATGAAATGACAGAAGTAATGAGAGGTTGGTGTGTGGTATATGCAGCTTACTCTCAAACATTGTGTATTTTCTAAGGAGATAATCTGTGTGTATTTCTCAAAAAAAGAGGATATTCTCTTTTGTTCCGATAATACAGTTGTCAAGTGGTATAATCTCTTGACAATACCGTTCTCTCCCATGCCCCTTCACTGTTCGATTGTTACTCTGAGCTCATAGGTCCTTTTTATTCAGTGAGATCTTTTTGGTCCTGAAAGTGTCCGAAAATTTACCAGTGAGAGCCCCTACGGTGGCTCCTATTTCCTGTTCATATGTACCCATTAGTTTTTGAGAAATTGCTTCCTTTTTATGGCACAAAAGATGTTCCAGGCCCACTTGGTACTTTTCCTGCCCTAGACCTGGAGTCAGCTATTTTCCTTAAGAAGCCTTAGTTCCTTTGAGTGGGAGATGGTATTTGCAAACCAAGATCTGAGTACCAGCTGTGCTCATTGATAATGGGGTGGTATTGCTTTAAGGCTTTTTAATGAAAGATGCTTGGAATTTTTTTTTTTAATCATGAGCTCATGTTCATACCTCCAGTTCAAATACAACACACCCAGATTCTTCGTACCTTCCCCATTTCATACTTTGATGTTCAGCTATTGCCACATCCCCTTTGTAGAGCTTGTACTATTTTGCACACCGATTTGGCGATGGATGAGTGTGCCTGTGTCCCCACAGCCTTACCAACAGGTAGGGTGTTGTCAGGCTTTTGAATTTTTGCCCTTTTGAAATGTAAGAAATCACATCTCTAAATAGGTTTGATTTGAGTTTCTCTTACTGTGTGTGAACCTAAGCATTTTTTTTCATGTGTAAGGACTAATTGGATATCTTTGTGTGTATACAGTTGATCACATGGGGTTGAACTCTGTGGGTCCACTTATATGCAGATTTTTTCGGTAAATACAGTATAGTACTATAAATGTATTTTCTTTTCCTTAGGACTTTCTTTTTCTTTTCTCTAGCTTCCTTTATTATAAGTATGCAGTAGGGGCGCCTGGGTGGCTCAGTCGTTAAGCGTCTGCCTTCGGCTCAGGTCATGATCCCAGGGTACTGGGATCGAGTCCCACATCGGGCTTCCTGCTCCGCGGGGAAGCCTGCTTCTCCCTCTCCCACTCCTCCTGCTTGTGTTCCCTCTCTCGCTGTGTCTCTCTCTGTCAAATAAATAAATAAAATCTTTAAAAAAAATAAGAATACAGTATATAATACTTCCAACATACAAAATGTATGTTCATCGACTGTTTATGTTTTCAGTAAGGCTTCAGTCAACAGTAGGCTACAAATAGTTAAGTTTTGGGGGAGTCAGAAGTTATACGTGATTTTCAACTGCATGGGGGTCGGTGCCTTTGTTCAAGGGTCAACTATACTATCCTTTCAAGTCTTTAGCCCATTTTTCTACCTTTTTTGGGTCATCTTTTGGTAGATTTAGGAATATTGTGTGTGTGTGTGTGTGTGCACGTGCGCGTGTCTGTGTGTAGGAGCTTATCTGCCTAAAACCAAGAACTCTTGAGAAATTTTAAAGAATTTTCTTTAAAAAAATTTAAGGTACTTGTTGCAGATATTTTCATCCAGTTCACCATTTGTCTTTTGTCTTGGCTTATATGTGTGCTTACTAATTTTTAAAAATGTATGGTGTTTTCTTCACACAAAAGGCTTTTATTTATCCATTTTTCATTGCATCTGGGTTTCTGTCATAGTCAGAAACCACACCCAGGTTTCAAGTGCATCCACACAAGTTTTCTTGTAGTATTTATGGTTCCTGTTCTTACAGTCAGAGCTCTTACCCATGTGGACTTTTCCTGGTTTAAGGTGCGAGGTGTGGATCCAGTTCAGTCTTTTTCTAAGTAACTAGCTGTTTGGAAAGCCATGTGGGCTCTCTGTTTTGTTTCAGGACTTTCTGTTCTGTTCAGCTTGTGGGCCCATCTAGCGGGAGATTCCGTATGAAAGAGCACGGGCTGCTGTCTGCAGCAGCAGTTGGTGCCATTGCCACGGTTGTGTGCTTCCGGGAGCTCGCTAAACACTCTCGCTGTATGTGTAGGACTGTGTGTAGGCTTGCCGCGGGGTTGGTTGTGGGCCCAGAGGAGGGGACTGAACAAAAGGACTGGTCAGCAAACCCAAAACACCTCCACTTGGACAAGTTTTATTTTGTTGTAGTTCCTTCAGAACTAGATTATGAAATAATACCTTAAACTTAAGATTAAGTAAAATAAGCATGAAAAGCACTTAATATTGCACCTAGAACAAACAAAACAACACACATTCAGCATATAATCATTGACTGGTCTTAGTAAACACTGTGTTTCATCACTAATAAGTGAGGAGGCAACAGTGAAGTAGGCTTTTGGCAGCATCTGGAAGTGGACAAATCTAGGATTGGCTGCCCTTGAACTTGGCAGTGGTTAAAGTGAGATGACAAACGTCTGAGCGGCAGTCAGGGTGCTGGCTTGAAGCTGGACCAGCAGACATCGGGAGATAAGAATGTTGGAACAAGGATGTCTGCACGATGGAACAAGGATGCTGGTCTTTATCTTCTAGACCCCTCCCCATCCACTTCTTAGGGCTCTGCACCTGCTGCTCTCTTTTTCTGGTTACTGGGGAAAAGGGCAGTGTAAACCCACATGTTCATGGAAAGCCCTGGAAAAAACTTCCATACTTCTCAGTATTAGAATACTAATCAGAAGCAGAACTTCTGTGAAGTAGGTACATTCAGCTAGCTAGGGTGTTAAGGCATGCCAGGTAAAATTATTCTTTTCACCACCAGTTCCCAACCAGTAACTGCTGTATTCTCCATTTGCCAACTGCTGCTAATAACTGCTAATTCTTTCCTCAGGGATTTTTGGGGCCCAACCTAAGCACCCCCTACCAGTCTTCCCTGACCACCCTGGCTTGCAAGATCTCCTCTCAAGAGTGAGATCTTGAGATCTACTATGAGAGACAAATCCTGTTAACATTTTGGTATATTTTCCTCCACTCTTTTTTTTCTCCTATGTATATGATTTTACAGAGTTGAGATCATACTCTCTATATAATATTGTATCTTATCTTCAACTTCTAGCTTTATTGTAAGCCGTTTGTAAACAGGGTTTTAAAATTTACATAATCTTTCCTGGAGTGGATGGAGTATGATTTGCTTATATTTGCGTTTTCATGCCTATTTTTCTTTTCTTTTCTTTTTTTAGAGCAGAAGCAGTCTGCCTTTTTTTTTTAAGATTTTATTTATTTGACAGAGAGGGAACACAAGCAGGGGGAGTGGGAGAGGGAGAAGCAGGCTTCCCGCTGAGCAGGGAACCCGATGTGGGGCTCGATCCCAGGACCCTGGGATCATGACCTGAGCCGAAGGCAGACGCTTAACGGCTGAGCCACCCAGGCGCCCCGTGTGCATATTTTTCTTATTAGGCCAATCAGATCATGAGAATATCAAAGGGAAGTCACTCTACTGTATTATCCCCCTTCCCTACTCCATTAGCTATAGAAAATGTTATATACATAGATGATAAGTCAATCTCTTTACTCCCTTCTCTGTTTTCAGTCTAAATATCATGGGAACTTTTTGCTATAGGAGACCCACAAAGTACTATTTGCAGCTTACTCAGAGTTGTTACCTCCACCCAAATCTCTCCACCCAGAAAAAGGGGGCTCTGGGGAAATATTTGCATGTATTTTAGGGGGCCCATAAATCCTCTGAAATTCTACGAGAAGCATTTGGAGTGAGCATTTGTGCATTTTCCTGTGGTTTTCACTAGACTCTCGTAGGAGTCCTTATTTAACAAAAAGCCACTAACACAGAGGCTGAAGCCAGTCTGGAGATAGATGTATTTATTAAACTTCTCTGAAATCGAAGATACCATTTTTCACCTTTTATTGTTCTTGGCTTTCAGGAAGGGAAGAAACCATGCAGCCTGCCAAACCATCTTTCCTTGAATACTTTGAACAAAAAGAAAAGGAAAATCAGATCAACAGCTTCGGCCAGAGTGTACCTGGTCCCCTGAGGAACTCCTCAGATTGGAAAGTGCCACAGGATGGAGACTATGAGTTTGTAAGTAGTGCTAGAAGTAGATGGTTGTGTCTGCTGGGGAGGGTTATTTGCCATATCACACACCCACTTCTGGCACTTCACCGAAAGTGCCAGAGCATTTTCCTAGGTGGTGCAAGCCCCTGGCCATGCCGGCACAGCCCCCGGGCTGAGGGCCTTGTGAGTTTGAGATGACACTTCGGCTGACATTTGAGCAGTTCTGGGGCTCCTGATTAGTGGCATCTTCTTTGCTTTAAAAATCCTTTATTCACTTGCCATTTTTCTTTTTGTCGAGCTTGGAATCGTTAATGGTAAAAGAAATACTCATCGAGGAGCGCCTGGGTGGCTCAGTTGTTAAGTGTCTGCCTTCGGCTCGGGTCATGATCCCAGGGTCCTGGGATCGAGCCCCGCATTGGGCTCCCTGCTCCGTGGGAAGCCTGCTTCTCCCTCTCCTGCTCCCCCTGCTTGTGTTCCCTCTCTCACTGTGCCTCTCTCTGTCAATTAAATGAATAAAATCTTAAAAAAGAGAAAAAAGAAATACTCATCGAGTGAGGACACAGTGTCTTTCATCATTTATTTGGGATTGTGACTTTCTATTTAAGAGTTAGACCAGAGGGCAGTTCATGCTGGTTTGTAGCATCTTTGCTGTTTTGCTAATCATTATCCTAATTTTAGGCTCTCTGAGAGGATTACTCTGAATTTTGCCTGAGGATGAATATTAAATTGTTCCACAGTTTCTTATGAAAAACTGGGTGTGTTTTTTCTTTCTCTGCAATGGAACATTCTCCCTCAACCACAGACACTTGTTAATGTTCACAGAGATTTAATGAGTAGAGGCAATAAAAAATTGGGGGGAAAAGTAAGCTGAGGACTCTGCGTTCCTTTTCTGAATATTTTTGGAAAAGAATGTTCTCTTTAAGGATTTTTAACTTTTACACTCTTAAATTCTGTCATGGTTCTGTTGTTGTTTATCAAAGAACTCAGATTGGGTGTCATAACTGGATTCTGGGAGGCCTTTCTAGGCCTGGCTTTTCATTCTCCTACTCACTGGCCTCCAGGTAATGACATCCTTCTTCCATAACCTAATGTCTACTGTTGTCCAGTAGCAGGAAGGCCACAGTTTATACTGCTAGCGAAGGAGATCGCTTGAGGACCAGAATAACTTGCCTGAGGCTCGGTAGCTGATGAGCCACTGAAGCCGCAGTAGAGCCCAGCTTCATTTGCTTTATCACGTGTGCCCTCATTTACTTGTTCAGCATCACCTGTTACGATCAGCTATTCACTCAGTTATTAGTCGACTCATGAGATTTGAATCATTTTCGTTATCTGTTGCCCACATGGTTGTCTTCGGCATATTTGTAAGGACTGATTTTCTCAGTGTAGTGAATCTCTAGGCAAAGATGAAATAACTTCTGGATACCAGATATCATCATTGTGACAGAAAGCTTCAGAATCCTCAAATCTGTATTCCTAGGTGTAGTTTCCTTTTTTTTTTTTTTTAATGTTATAGTAGTTAGTGATCCTGAAAGTCCAGTCATTCTAATCATTATTTTCGGATCGGTAGTTCCCGTGTTAGAAGACTTCACTTCTGTCTGGCGTAGTTTTCCCAGACTAGCATCCTTGGTGGAGAACTTGTTTCAGCGGGCAAGCTGCTTATGCAGAGGGGCTTTAATGGGTCTTTAGAGAGCATGCTTTCCATTCTGGAAGGAGGTGACTGCTGGAGGGAGTGGCCGTGAGCACCATGAGTGGGTGAACACATTGCCCAGCCTGGATGACGCCTGGCCCGTGTGGGAGGAGGGCCTGAGACCACGCCCTCTACACCAGAGCTCACAAACTGGCAGCATCCAGCCCACAGACCTTCTTGTGTGCCCTATACAGGGCTCACAAATCTTTCAGTAGCTGCCTGTATTTAAAACTTGAGAACTTTTAAATGAAATATTGGCTCTCTGGCTTATGTTGAAAACGTAGAAGAGCCAGCCATAATAAACCTACATGGTTGGAGGACAGTTGTGTGGAGCTGAGCGGCAGCTGCCCTCCTTAGGTCCAGGTCTTCTCAGTGTCTGGCCAACTTCATTCATTTGCATTAACCAACCTGTCTGGCACTTAGTGGCATTCAGCACTGGGATTCTTGCTGTAAATCTTCTGGATATGTATATGTCCACATTGGGCTTGAACCAACCCCATCCTGTCATATAAAATTTTATTCTATTTTTACTGTCAAAATTTCAACAGAATTAATTTATAATTTCTCTTTTAAGAGAATTGCAAACTAAACAATGAAAGAAAGTTTAGGTGGGGTGTATATGAGCTCCTATTCCAAAAAATACTGAAGATCAAATGAAAATGATTTTTTTAAAATGTATTTATTTGAGACAGGAAGAGAGAGAGCACACGCGCATGCACAAGCTGGGTGGGGGGAGGGGCCGAGGGAGTGGGAGAAGCAAACTCCCTGTGGGGCTCGATCTCAGGACCCTGGGATCATGACCTGAAGGCAGACACTTGAGCCACCCAGGAGCTCCTGAAAAGGATTTTTAGTGTCATGGTATTCTTGCTAGATAACCCTTACATGAACCCCAAATCAAGCATTTGAAATAACAGCCTCAGACAGTTTCTTAAAGTGTCATCCCCAGGCCAGGAGTGTCAGCATCACCTGGAAACTTGGTAGAAATGCAGACTCTCAGGCCCCACCGCAGACTCACTGCATCAGAGTCTCTGAGGTCAGCACTGAGTAATCTGTGTTCTAACCTACCTTACATATGATTCTACCTTGCTAAATTCTGGTCTAAATGGTTTTTATTTATTTATTTGTTTGTTTATTTTAAAGATTCTATTTATTTATTTGACAGAGAGAGACAGCGAGAGAGGGAACACAAGCAGGGAGAGTGGGAAAGGGAGAAGCAGCCTTCCCGCTGAGCAGGGAGCCCGATGCGGGACTCGATCCCAGGACCTCGAGATCATGACCTGAGCCGAAGGCAGTTGCTTAACCAACTGAACCATCCAGGCGCTCCTAAGCGGTTTTTAGAGTGTAGTATATTTTTATATAAGTTCCTTCTTTCTTTCCTATTAGGTACTATAGAGATTCAGAGAGAAGGACGTATTCGCATTTTATTAGCATTGCATGATTTTTTAGTTTCCTTTTTACTCTCCTTTTGCATCTCCTGTACTCCAATTGGAGGTATCAAAGAAACACATAAAATAAGGAAAATGTCCTTTTGTAAGTGACATTTGGCAAAGAAAGAGCCAAACTGTTGAGTGAAAAAAGTATGCTGAATAATTTCACTAAGCTTGTAGACGGTTGTGTGTCAGACTAGCTAACAAGTCTCCCTCAGCAATCTCTTAGAGACTCTCTGATTTTCCAGTAGGCATTTAACAGTATTTAGTTATGAAATTTAATACTTTTAACAGGTTTTAATTATGAAAAAAGATACTCTCTTTCTTCCTGTGAAGGCAGTTGCTATTTTGAAATGAACTTTTTGCCCAAAATGGCAAATAGGAAGTAATTTCATCAGGAGTGGTAGAATTTGATACTGAAAAAACCTTCATATTTTCCTTTGAAATTGAATACTTTTGCATTTCTGAAATTAAATTACTTTATTTGCCATACTGGAAAAGCAACAAAGGTTTCCTTTAATGTTTAATATATATTGTGATAAAAGCATAAATAAAAGATGCGGGAAAATGCAATATTTGCTGAAGTTGGTATTTGATAGTCTATAAACAGATGGCACACAGTGAATGTTGCTTCTAGGAGAAGTCAGACCCTCCCACTTTGCCAGTCGTAAAGCCACAAAAGACTGTAAACTTAAATCCAGTTTGGCTCATGAATCCTCCAGACACACTGTAATCTGTCAGTCTAAGGTGGTGGAATGCCAGGGGGGGTGAATGCGACAGATGAGGCCACGCTTCCCAGGAGCTCACGGTGGTGAGGGGAACAGACATTACAGATAGTCTATCTGCTCAGGTAATAATGGCTATTTAAAGAAAAAAAAAAAGCCACAGTAAAGAGATAGTATGAGATAGTATGCCTTGCAGTGTGAGGTACATGAATGAAGAGGGGCAGCACCTACAAAGACCCCAAAGCGGGACGTAGTGGGCATGTGTCAGGAGAGACTGAAGCCCGTCGTGGCTGGAGCAGAGTGACCAGGAGGACAGCAGCCCAAATGTAAATACTTTGGTGATCAGAGTACGTGTGAGCACATTAAAATCCCCTTGAGGGGCTCCTGGGTGACTTAGTTGGTTAAGCATCTGCCTTCGGCTCAGGTCGTGATCCCAGCATTCTGGGTTTGAGCCCCACATTGGGCTCCCTCCTCAGCGGGGAGCCTGCTTTTCTTTCTCCCTCCATGTGCGTGTGCGCTCTCTCTCTCTTAAATAAATAAAATCTTTTAAAAAAATCACCTTGAGATCAAAATAACCATCAAAATCCAGCTAAATCTTGTTTATAAGAGATATAACTAAAATAAAATATCACGGAAAAGTTTAAAATGGAAGAATGGAAAAAGACACACTGGGTAAAATCCTCCCTAAAAGGAAGTAGGTGAAACAATATTAATATCAGATAAAATTGAATCCAAGACAAAGGACTGTTATATGGGGAAGGATATTTTATATCGCTGGAAGGTGTAATTGGCCGGAAGACCTAAGTCGTGAACTTCTCTAAGCATGTGGACTTCTCCCAAATTGCTAGAAATACCACCAGCAAAGAGAAAACGGCAGTCATAGGTGAAGGCTTAGTGTTCTCCCAAAAATGGTCATTTCAGTTAGATTAAAAAAAAAACAAGAGTCCCCACAATTAACAAGATTGATAAAACAGAAAATAGGAACATTTTTCAAGTATCTATGACACTTTTAAAACATATACGGAATATTCACAAAATCTGACTATGTTTTAAAGTGCTCAGAAAGAAATCTCACAGAAATTACACGGCCACGTTCACTGACTGTAACAGAAGTAGAAATTAACAATAAAGTAGTTAAAACCACTTTGTTCCACTTGGGAATGTAAGAATATATCTCCCAAGTATTTG